CCGGCCCGGCCCGGGGGCGGAGGGCAGGCGGGGGGGTTCGGCCCCGGGCCCTGGCCTCCGCGATGCGTCGGGCACAGCCTGCCGGGGTGGCCGCGGGCAGGTCCCGAGCTGCCTCAGTGAGAGCCCCCCGGCCCATCCCCACGGCCATTTTGCGAAGGTGGGGTCAGGCGCCCTGTGCCCCGGCCCCCCTGGCGGTCCTGCGGGCATAACCAGGGTCGAGCCGCAGGCAGGGCCCGGCGGGATAGGTGAGCCCTCCGTCTTCTGTCCCAGCAGAGTGGAAGCCATCGCCCAGAGTTTGTGGTGGCAGAAAATAAACTGATCCATGTGCACGCCTCAGAAACCAGGAAGCGAGTGAAAAGTAAAAAAGAACCACCCATGAAATACCTCGTCAGCTGCGGTCTGCCTCATTAGCTCGTAGTGCTTGGGCCTGGCCATGCTGTGGGCAGTACTGACACCAGGCACAGCCTTCCTCACGGCAGCGTGGAGGAGATGGGCAAACTGAGAGCGGAGGAAGGAAGGGCATGAAAATGGGGTAGGGAAAATGAAGAGGAGTGCAATTAGCTGCAAACAAGGGTGCTGACAAAGGAAACTTGGGAATCCAGTGGGAGGCAGGAGAGGGATTGACGAGCAAAAAACAAGGTTTAACAGGCAAAAACATTGAAAGGAAGGGTGACTTCAAGACACGGTGCGCAATCCCACTGGGTTTCCTACTGAGTAGTTCTAATCAGGGCAGAAAGGATGCAAGAGAAAGGATACGGGAAAGACACTATATGTGCTTAGATAATGCCCTACAGAGAAGTTGTATTATGAAAACAATACATGCCTTTCCCTCTCTAAATAAAAACAAATTAGTGAGTGCTGTACAAATAAACTGAAATTATGGCAATTAACAGGGATGGTTACATTTATCAAATACTCATGAACATTTCCATCACCAAACAGTTGGAACCTGAAGAACTTTTAAGATTTGTAGCACACATTGTCACACAAAACTGTCTTCTCAAAACTGACAAAAAATAAAATTCAGAATAAAGACTTCAAGACGACTCAGTATTAAGGAGGAGCAAATCACAGATATCAGGTGAAGAAATCACTGTTTGTTGAGTAACTATAATCTGTGCCTCAGATATTTTGATACTGTAGAGTCCTTCAAGATAGTGTTAAGCCATGACTTCCCTCCATGCCCAACAACGTGCTTTCAGTAAAGCTTAATTATCTGAAAAAAATATTTAAGTGATGTAAACAAAACTCTAGAGAAAACTGTTGAAGCAATATTCCTTTTCCAGGATTATTTGATCTAAAATATTCTGAAGATTCTTGCTTGTCAGGTCAACACAATTTAAATATGATGGCAATAAATGCTTCCCTTAATCATGCAATTACAGAAGGTTCTCAGTTACTTTCTTTTTAATAATGTTTGAAATCCTTATGGCCTTGGAGAAAAGCTTGAAAACATGACCCAGAAAAAAAGCTCCAGAAAGCAAAGGAAAAGACATTAACATATTTAAAAAAAAAAAAATCTCATGATTTTTTGGCATCTGACTCATTATTTTGCATGTTTGGGATTAGACATTTTGAAAGTTAAAAAATCCTAAAAAAGATTTTCTTTTGCAAGAAATGTACTTGACGCTTGACAGATATATCACTGCTGCAAATGGCTGATATGTGGACCATAATTTGACAAAGTGAATTGGAGACAGATTGCAAGCTCTGTATTGAAAAGCTGCTGTTGAGAAACTTGTTATTCATGGACCATGGATGGGTTTTCAGCCTGTTGTGGAGAAAGGTGGTAGAGATATACTGATTCTGGAAGAGTTGGTCTAGGTGATCGTGTATGCAGGTGCGTACAGATGTATGCAGGTACGTGATGCTAATGCAGAGCCAGAGATGTCAATACCAGAATGATTAGAACATTCTATGATAAAAAGTAGAGATTTGGCTTTTTATTTATACGAAATATTACTATTGCCTTAAGAAGGGCTTCGAGTTCCTAGGAGTCTGTAGGAGTTTACAACTATACCATTTGCTTTGCACAGCACTTCAAGTTATTTTCAGTACTTAATGATGCAGGCCCTGAGAGGTTATAAAATTTTTGCTGGTACTTACAGAGATGATTTAATCGTCTAGATGGTAAAAACACCTGAGATTTGTGGCAGTTACCGGTAAAGTTTGTAAAAAACAAAAAGCTATGTATATTAATCCGTTAAGTGTTCTTTTGTTTTGTAGGGGACATTTTCTCAGGGGGTTTCAGAATAATGCATTTGTGGAGACTGGAACTGAAAATATTAATACTATTGTAGGTTTGGCCTGTATGGACTGAGAAAGCAAGGCCCTTTCCAGGATAATTCAATGGTATATCAAACTTGGCCACTTTAGCTCATGTAAGTGCATTTTCTAGAAAAAAGTTGCCACAGATTAAAAAGCATGAATCACTTTTTAGAAGCTTAAAAGGAAAGAACATTTGTTCAGAAGGGCACTGAGTTTTTAAAGCCATTCAACATTCAAGTGAATGTCTCCGAAATAGTCTTGAAAGAGGTTCCTGTACCAGCATACAAGAAGAGTGTCATTGCTTTTCTCATATAAATAGGAACAAATGCCTGGAGAAACATGATCAGTATCTGCTGATACTAAAAAAGTTTTTATTCTTTTAAATAATGTCTGCTGGAGTGAGACTATGTAGTATAAATGCTCTCCATGCAATGGAGAACTCATACGGCATTCCTTGCCAAACAGCGTTGTGAGTGCAGAAAGTTTACATAGCAGACTGGAAACTTAAGGAGGTCATTAAATAGACAAACCATAAATGGATCAGCAACTCCTTTGAGCTGGAAATAGCTGGAGGTAGAGACACAGGGGTAGGGGATGGGGCAAAGTATGGTACATGCTCGCCCTCATTTTGGGCTGTCACACTTAGAGCTGTCCCTGGAGGCAGAGCACTGGCAGGGCAGCCCCTCAGTCTGAACCAGTCCAGCCACTCGCGTGTTCTTATTCAGGCTCCGCAATGGTCTCACCATCAGAATTAAAAGAAACAAGTAAGTATGTCTGAGATGACAGGTCATTTTCTTGTCTGCCCTGATGTCTCACCCAGCTGTTCCATCTAGTATACTAGGGAGCCTTCAGTGTGCATAAATCATGTTCTCAGCCAAAGAGAAACAAAAGTATTTTAGTTTAAAAAAGAATCTAGCCCAACATCTTTTTGTTTTAATCTCACACATCTATACCCAGTTTTATTTGGAGTCTCCAGACAAAGATGTCTGATCATCTGTTATAAAGAGAAGATTTCTTTATTTTCCTAGGAAAAAGGAAATGTGAGACTGTGATGGTGGCTTATTAGTTGTTCTACATAGGCGCCACAAGGCTGTTTTCATGAGGTTATCTTTTCTTTAAAAGAAAGTATTCTAATGCAAGTTTAAGAGCAATTGGATTGGAAAGCCATTTTTGACTCTTGTTTCCTGGGCTGTACTTTGGGAGCCAGGAGGGCCAGAAAAGCTAAAAGGGGAAGCATGAGATTTTTTACTTACTGACGCACAGGACTATTTAGCTTTCAGAACAAAGCTCAACACTCATCAATTTCAAACGAGTAGTTAATTAAATAATAATAGGATGAAGGATCTGTCCCTTTTGTGTGGATGTCCTGTTTCATGTCCTTAAACTGGGTATGACACTTGGATCTGGGAAGATGCAAAAGATAATGACATTAAGATTACAGAATATTTAAACCAAAGTAATTAATCTGGTCTTTTCATCAGAATGAACTCAAAACCTTTAAGAAACTGATTCATTTTAAGTGTTGTTGACATTCTGGATGTGCGCTCATAAGTGAGCATAAATCAGTGTATTTAAACAGAAACATTTGCAATATGGTATCAAAGCTTAATAGTGGTTATATATGTTTCAGAGTATTTAAACAGTTTGATACCTAATAGTGTGTCAAATGAAGTGTTGTCAAACATCAAATAAAAGGGGCAGCTATTTTATTATTTTAGCCACTGCTGCTGTGTTGTTTAATTCATTTGTGAAAATCACTGGCCCCAAATTATCACACTTGCATGGAAATAAATTGGTCTCATCTTTGTAAGGAAGTAAAGATCATTCTAAATAGTTAGGGAAAGCCCCGTGCTACAAAGCAAAGAGAAAACCTGAGTATTGCCATATTTTCTCATTCCAAACAAATGATATGCAGCCAATTTAACAGATAGAGGAGGAACAGACACATGGGCTGAACCTGAACTGTGTTTTGCATCTCACAAAAGGTTCTTACACACTCATCTGCCATTGCCTACAGTAGGAGTTAAACACACAACACCTCACAAAATCAAGACCTTAAATAACCATGAGAGAAATATAAAAATGTAAAATTCACCTTGCATATTTGCAGCTTCGATCCGTTCCCATATGCTTCAAAGACTCTGCCAGCTGGTTCAATTCAAGTTACCAAATTTAATGTGGCCTTGCAGCCATACAAAGGTAGGCCAATCTTGAAAGAAAACATTTCACTGGGCCTTAAAAACAAATTATTTCTCATGGTCAGAGAAACAAAGGAAAGCATGAAGTTCCTTTTTTAATTTTCCTAGATTTCCTGTCTTATCAAGTGATTTTATATCAGATACACTGTCCGCATGGTATGCAGGAAGGCTCAAAAATACATCACAGTATGGTGTATGCTAGTTCTCAATTGCAAGATATACGCAAGTGTTAAGGTTGCCAATTTTCCACTCTTCCACTTATCTTGTTAAATCAATCATGAAACATCTAGAAGTATACGGGATCAGGAATTTTTGATTTCATGCTATTTTTTTCTAAAGTGTATGAGAAGACTGTACTGGGGTTTCAGAAACTTAGGGTTTTGGAAGGAAAATTGTG